TTCAGACCTGAGGTCCCCGGCCAAGGCCCAGGGCTTGCTCCCGCGGCCCCGGCTGTCCCCGGGCCTGGCCTTGTTAGCTGCGGACCGGTCGGGACAGCCTCCCTCTGCCGCTCCCAGGGCAAGGGTCCTCTGCGCTTCTCTCTGGAAGCCCCTCTGCTGTGCCTGGCCCAGGGCTGTGTCCCCGCGGACCCTCCGTCAGCGCGGCTAGCCGCCACCGACTGCGGGTGACCCGCCGACCCGAGGAGCTCTGTGCTGGGATTTCCTGGCCCCTGCTGAAGCCTGATTCGAGCCCCATCCGTCCCCCACGCATCTGTACGTCTGTACGGAGGAGCGGCCAGGCTGCTCTGGGCCTCGGGAGGGCGGGGTCAGCCCTCTGCAGGGCGGGGGTCCCTAGCACGCTGTCCGCAGGACTCTGTCACGACAGAGTGACCTCACGCCGACAGATCAGTTAGCAAAGACAGCTGGGAAGGGGCGGGGAGAAAAGTTCGCTAGCGAGTCCCGAGGTAAAGTGGAGAAATGGGGCCAACGAACGGGACAGAGCCAAGGCAGAGGCGGCCTTCTCCCTCCCTACACTGCTGGGGACCCCTGCTGTCCACTCTCGGGGTGCTGGGCTGGGCTCTCGGGGGTGCTGGGCTGGGTGTCACCAAGCACGGCCGCGTGATTCCACCTGGCGGTCCCCAGGGCGTGCCCTGCTCCGGGCCTCCCGGCGGATGGTGCCGCCTGGTTTCTCTCCTCGAGGGAGAGATCCAGAACAGGATGTCCCACCCGCGACCGAAGATCGTTTCGCTCCCAGAAGAACTGAACGCTCAGGGCATGCTTCTTGAGTTGAAAATAGGAAAAGTTTTAGAGCCGGGGGTTGGTAGAAAAGGGGATTGTCACCTTAATCCGGGAGCGTTCCCTGGAAATCAAAGTTGTCGCTTGCTTCAGCTTCATCTGGGACAAGCCACGGGACAAAAGCCTGTTTTTGGCGTGGGAGGAGAAGGGCTGTGCCTTCCGACCGCTCCAGCTCCCCTCTTCCTGGTCCCGGCCCACCAGGAGAAGGCATTCGAGTGACGGAGGACCACTAAGAGAAGCCAAAAAGCTTTCCCCTTCTGACCAGAAACGCAGCAGCCCAGAGTAATTCTGCTCGGCTGCCTCCCCGGGGCAGGAGCAGGTAAAGGGGTCTCGTTTTGTTACAGGAACCAGCAAGGAGACCCTGAGCCAGGGCTGCCAGGTCTAACAAATGCGTGTGCAGGACGTGTAGCTATAGGTGAACTGCATACGAACGATTCATAGCTTTTAAGTGTGTCCCAAATATTGCATTTTGCTGCATTCCACCTGCTAACGGTACCCAGCCCCCGCTAATGCTCATGGCCCAGCGAACCCAGCTCGAGTCTAAGAAGGAGAGTCTAGAGTCTTGGCCCCTCTCCTGCCCCTGTCGAGCTGGGCTGACCCCCCAGGAGCCAGCAGGCCTGGCTGGAGGGCAGGGGAGGGAGGCAGGGAAGGGATCAGAACCTGTGGGTCTCTGGCGAGTGCCTAGAACAGGATTACAGAGTTAAAAACACTGAGATTGCGGACACACAAAGTGGCCATCACAAAAAGTGCCAATGTCTGTGGTCATGAAAACCAATGAAACCATGAAAACCACTAGGTTAGGCGCCAGGAGGTCAGGGATGTAGTCTGCTGCAGCATCAACCAGCTCTGGGGCTTTGGGTGAGTGACATTTCTCCTCTCTGGGCCTGAGTGTCCCCGTGTGTGGAATGTGAACCCCGCTGGGCTCTGAGATTCCACGACCCTGCTCCTGTGGGACCCTGAGTGCCAAAGATGCCACCCGAGACCCTTGTTTCTGAAGGAGGAGGAGGCAGGGGCGGCCGGTGACTTCCTGTGGACCAGCCGGCCCTTTACCTTAAGCCCCCTGACGCTGTTTGTAGGTCACGCTGACTCTGTTTTACTCTATGACGAGACTCCCTACGTTCACTCTTCTTAGTTGATAAGCAGCCCTGTGTAATACATAGTAGGATTCTCTAAAACATCATAAGGCTGTGGCTGATATAGACTATAAGGCGAGACCACAGCTTTTTAAACATCCTTAGCGCCTTCTTTCTGGAATCGCCTGCAGATTCTTCACGTATTTAAATGAAACGTGGGCACCCGCGGTGACAAAGCTCTGTTGCAAAATTGGACCTTCGACATTTAGAATCGGAGCCAAATCTGAGGGGTGAGATGCTCACTCCAGCGGGTAACGTCGCGTGTTTGCTCGAACACAGGGCGCGGCCACAAAACATGATACCGGCTTTTAAATCTGGCTCCTAAAATGACAGTGGAGACGGTTCTAACATTTTTAGGGGCTCTAGAAACATTCTGAGCCCTGGCAGGGCTGGTGCAGAAACGAATGCCTGTATTCTGTCTGCCTGTCTGTCTGTCTGTCTGTCTGTCAGCTCTGTGCTCCTCCCAAGCCGACCGCAGGTTCACGGAGGGCGGAGTGGGACGGTTCTCGGCTGGGCGTCTGCAGCCCGCTGCTGGCGGCCGCGCCCGGCAGTTGCCCGGCGCGAGCTGGCTGGCAGGGATCACACGGTGCCTGTAGGAAGCCACCCTCCGCCGGCTCCCAGGAGCTCTGGAGCACACGCTGAGGCGCCGGTGCAGACAGACCACACCCTCCGCGCCGCGCTCCAGCCCCGGCCGCCATGCTGGCTTCTCCGGTGGGAGGGAGTGAGATGGTCCCGTGCCAGCCCTGCCATCCATGGGAAAGTCCCGCAGGCCCAGGGTTATCTGGTGCCACCCATCTCGTCACCTCCCCCCCCTGCTCTCCTCCTCCCCAAGCCTGGGTCCCGAGTGGCTGTGCCCAGTCCTCGGCTGACTACACGTCTGGCTCCCAGATCAGTGGTTCCACTTCCTCTCCACTCGGCCCCCTCCCTCCGCCCCGGCCCCCCGTGTGCTCAGCTCTTCCCTGTTCCCATGGCCGCTCCCAACGTGCCCCGGCAGCTGCCCCGCATGAGTCACGTCTGCATCCCACCAGCCAAGAAGGGGCAAGGAGGGCTGGGCCTCAGGGCGCGGAGAAGGGAAGGGATTTTCACTGGTCGTCAGAAAATGGGCGCAGGGACGGGTGGGGACACTTGGGAAGCATGAAGCCTGGTGAGGTAGCTCAGGATTGAGCCGACTCAGCAGAAGCACAGTGCTCAGCGTGGGCCGGAGGGAGGTTCCCTGGAGAAACGCCTCCCCCTAAAGATAAAGAGCTCCTTTACAGCTCTTGGTTGCAAGTTTCCACGGTTACACTGCCCGTGTGACGACACCTCGCAGTTAAATGTAGCATGACACCGACTTGGGAGGGAAGTAGGCACGCGGATGTCATCGTTCCCATTTTATAGATGAGAAAATGGAGGCCCAGAGAGGTTAAGAGTTATTTTATCTAAAGTCACAGAGCCAGAGAGCGGCAGAACCAGGACTAGAACCTAAGCCTTCTAAGCTCTGATGTGGTTAACATCATGTATGCAAAGGCATGTAAACATCTGTGTTGTCAGCGTAATTATTCATCCTGACAGCCGGTCCGCTGATCTGCCCTTTCTGGGTTTCAACTAATCCCTTGACACTGCACTATGAAGCCGTGCTCCCAGACTGTGCGGTCATCGCCCCTGTGTCAAAGCCCTTTACTCACATCTGTGCCTGGTCTACCAGCTTACTGGAACCCGTCAGCAGTATTTATGTTGCAATAAGGGTGTCCACTGACAACGAGAATCAGAAAAAAAAGTGAAGGAAGTAAATCTGTGGCAACCCTAGCCCATCCCTCCCTTTAGTGCCCCAACCTGTAACACGGGAGAAAGACGTAACCTCCAAAAGTAGCCCCAACAAGAACGTAGGAAGGAAGGAGTCAACCCAGTGGCAAAAGAACACCCGACTCCTAAACCGACCCCCACTCCCTTGTCCAGGATCGGGGACATCTGACAATCGGGAGTGACGTGTGTGAGCAACGCGGCCCAAAGCAAACGCCGCTGGAATCCTGCGGCCCCACGAAGACAGAGCCCCACCTCGCCTTATCCCATCGGACAATGTCTCGAGGGCTTCACGAAAGGGTTCCCAAGAACAATAGCGGCGAATGTGGAATCAGCAAAAATTAGTGAAAGTCATAGAATTTGGGGACTAGGAGAAAGCTTGGGTGCCACCTTGCCCAACGCCCGTTTCCAGAGCAGAAGGAAAGTCCTGCGCTGGCTGCCACCGCAGGGCTTGGCACAGAGTAGGAGCTCAGCGAACATTTGTTCGGTAAATGGACGGGTGAGTAGGGCAGGGTGAGATCACTTAGAAAGACTGGCAGCCAGGATTAAAGGGTCTAGAATAATCCCTACCCATGTTAATAAAAAATATTCTTAGCAATTACCGTCATCAGTTTTTTTTTCCTTGTACGTTAGTTTGTTTAACCCTGAAAACAACTCCACGAAGGAGACTTTGTTATATCCACGTTACGTGTGCAGAAAGCCCAGAGTTCGAAGTGGTCTGCCCGAAATCGCATGCTCGGTGTGAGCAGCAGAGCTAGAATTTGAGCGCAGATTTGTCTGATTTAAGCAGAAGCGACACCCCACTCTAGCACGCAGCCTCCCACGCAGGAGTGGCCACCGTGGACCGGCTGGAGTCCCCTCTGTGGCCACAGCCAAAAACCAAAGAGAGCCGTCTTCCCGTCAGGATTTTCCTAGAAACATCTAAACTGCTCCACAAAGGGGCCTCAGGAATTCAAACTTTCCCCAAATCCATGATCGTATTGGGAAATGGACTTTTCTGGCTGCTCTTTTTTTTTTTTAATGATTTTCCTAAAATGTTCTCATTTGAGACAGTCAAAAATATCCAATCAGCCCAGGAGCCACCTAATGAGATAATGGCCGAGCAAACAGACCCAGCCAGAGTGGACGGGCCGCGGCTCGAGGACCAAAGCCTGTACCACTGTTTAGCAGCCAGTGCAGGTTTTCTCCACCCTGAACCCCCAAAACCATCCCCACGAACACCCCAGGTCTTTTAGAGCGGAAGCAGTTCCTTACCGGGTACCCCCACGAGCCGTTCCCCGCCTGGAACTTGGAGTAGTAGTTGCTCCTGCTGGTGGTGCCGTAGCTGTGATTGTCGGCCAGGCCGTCGTACATGGAACCTGGAGGGCGGAGGAAGAAGGAGGTCAGGACGGGAGGGCTGTGGCCGTCCCCAACCCTCTTCCCCAGAGCCACACTTGAGCGCCCAGGTCCGCCTTGCCCGGGGAGAAGACCAGGCCTGAGCTCCCGGAGGAGGGAGATGGAGAATGTCACCTGCGGGTCACCTCCCTCTAGCTCCACATCCTCCTGCCAGGGCCAAGGGAAGGGCCACCAAAGACTGCTGCCCCCTTCCCGGCAGCCTAATGGCCTCCCTGCTGCTTGGAGGAGGTTGACACCTACAGGTCAGGAACTGGTCCGGAGGGCCCAGGAGCACTGCCAGGCCACCCCAGGGAATCACCACGCCACGCTCCACAAGGATCAGCTTCCCACTTGGGGGAGGCAGGCGGGACCCCGACATTCCTGGTCCGGCAGCGACGGCTGATTAGTCAGATCCAGGGAAGGAGCCTGGATTCAATTCTCGGCCTGGCCCCTACCGGGGACCAGGCAAACGCCGCCCCTTCCTTCACCTCCAAGGTGCTGTAGCTGGCAATCAACCTCAAAGGCCCGCTGAGGATTAATTAATGTTTTTCGGGTGCTTGGAGACCCACAAATGACAGGCTCCATGGGAAAACAGAGTGTCATTAGGGTTATTAGCGGCACAGTGGCTTTGAATCACAGAAAGCAGGACTGGATTTTGGGCTCCTGGTGGGGCCACCCCCCATCCTCTCCCTTTCTCCGGATGGCAGGGGGGACTCTAAGGGCCGGCCTCCACTCTGAACAAGCTGGCCTGTTCCCTGTGCTCGTGCCTTTGCAACACGCCAAAGGTAACACGCTCATGACGTGGCGCACACCACCCTCCTTGCTGAATGCACAGCCATCGAATCTCACACGTCTCTCTCGAAGCCAAGCTCGAGACCACACCTCCTCCAGGAAGCCCTTTCTGATCAGCGCTGCTCTCTCCCTCCTCTAAACGCATACTGTCCTGCCCTCTGTCGCCCAGGTCTCATTCTGCTTGGTGTCCCACTCCCTTGGCTGCTCCACAAGGGCCTGCGTGGCCTGGGCGCCCAGAGCAAGGCCTGCCCTACACTCTGGTCACATGATGGCCTCTGGGAAGGAAGACAGGTGGGATGCAGGGAGAGCCTCCCAGGAGGGGTGCGCTCTGTTTCTCCAAAGCGATGGTCAGACTCCGCCATCAGAAACCCCGTCCGGGGGAGAGGGTTCGACCGTGATCTCACCTGGCTGAACTAGCTCCGCCCATCGGCCCACCACTCGGACTCCCAGCCTTTCCCTTGGGGGTGAAACTGTCTGCGCTGGGAGTAGAGGGGAGGGCAGAGGGGCAGCTTTGGAAGGAGGCAGGCATCCCTGCCTGCTGCCGTCTCCTCTGTCCCGTGCCAGGTGACCCCCCGTACCCACAGCAGAGGGCATTGCCCCATTCCCTGCCCCACCCCCAGCAGGGACGGCCACCTGCACACCAGGGCTCTCGGGCTATGGCGGACACAGTGTGTCCTGGGAGCCTGGAGGTGCTGGAATTGGTCCTGGCTCTGACCCGTGGGCAAGCCACTCTTTCTCTCCTGGCCTCAGCTTCCTCTTCAGTCAAAGGAGGGGGGTGGCCTCTGTACCCCCCACAGGGCCCGTACAATTCCAACGTTCCATGGTGGCCTGATTACAGTGACACACGCCCGATGGCATTCAGAGGAGCCCGGCTCCCCCAATCCCGAGGGAGGTTCCAGTTGCGAGGAGAGGAGGAAGGACACACATCACACCTCTGCCACCTACCTCGAGTCCTCCCAGAGCCTCCCCCGTGCCCCAGGCCCAGGCCCAGCTCTGCTCCCCCCATGAGATCATCCTGAGATGCTGTCACGCGGCCCACTGAGGGAGCCTCTGACGTCCTCCCAACTCCCTGCTGAGCGTGGCCACTCGTCCCTTCCGTTTCCTCCAGCGGCCACTGCTTGGGAAAGACGGCCTTGCCAGGAGGAGGCGGGAGACAATCCCGTGGGCTCAGCCACGCAGGGCCGGTGCTCACAGGGAAGGGGGCTGCAGCCAGGCGCGCTCGGGCAGGACCTTTGACGCCCGGGTCTCCCCACCCGCCTTTTGCCCAGCCCACTCCCATCACCCTTCCAAGGCTCGGCAGGCCAGCGTCTGTATGGGCAGGTAGATCCCAGCAAAGGGCAGGTGGGGGTCAGCCAGCTGGGGTGGTGACGGACAGACCTCTATGGAGCCCCGGGGAGGACTCCTGCTAGGAGAGGCTGGGGGAGGGGCCTCCCATTTCGGCCTCCATGCCTTCCAGGAGGGAATCTGCCTGCACGGTGGCACTGTCCCTCTGGGTCATCAGACGAAGCACCTGCTCCCTCCACGCCCTGCACCTGTCACCTCCCTCTCACCCACTCTGCTCCCTGCGAAGGTGGGGGCCTGTCTACCGTGCAAGCAGGGGTGACCCATGGACACACAGAGGTGGAGCTGGAATTCCCAGCGTCAGTCCCCAAGTCCCAGCAGTGACTCTGGTAAGACAGGCGTGAGCTGTCACTCTCACTTCTGGTTGGGCCAAGGCCTCCAGGCCCCTCTGAGCAGCTCCTGAAGGCATCCCCCAAGACGCATCTGCAGCTGGGGGCCTGCCCGCCTCCTGTGAGAGGGAGGCTGCCATCACGCCAGCCTGCACAGCTGCTCCGGCAGAAGGTAGCAGCACTCGGGGCAGGATGGAGGCCACAAAGGAGAGCAGGAGTCCAGAGCTGTCACACCGCCGAAGTCACACCTCGCAGTGTCCCAGATAACGAAGGGCTGCAGGCGGCAGGTGAGCTCTGTCCGTAAGAGTGCTGCTCCCACAACAGAATGGACGGCCCCCTCTCCTGACCCCGGGTGTCTGTCTGGTCAGCAACGTCCTGTAAAGCTGTGGTCCCAGCCCCCAGTCCCCAGCCTGTTAGGAACCCGGCTGCGCATCACTGTCTGAGCTTTGCACCCCTGTCCATCCCCAGGCCGTGGAAAAATTGTCTTCCATGAAACCGGTCCCTGGTGCCAAAAAGGTTGGGGACCGCTGCTGTGAAAGTCAAGTTCAACGGCAAGAACATGGGGCTTCTAATGAGAAGCGATGGCTTGCTTTTCCACCTGGTCCTGGACGTTCCTATACACTCACTTCTAGGAAGCCTTTCCTGGTGAGTGACACCTGGTCCCATCCCCCTCCCATGCCTGTACCGGCCCCCACCGCCATGCGCTTCGGGCACTCTCCGAAGCACCAAGCATGTCTCTTCTTTCCTCGGGACCCTGGGCACAGGCACTGCTCCAGCCGGAGCTCCAGCTGGGGCTGGCCCCGTCTGTCGCCTGGCTCTTGTCCCCTGCCCAGCCGTGCGGGCAAGGCGCCTGGAGGCTGGCAGCTCTGTGTCCACATCACTGCAGGAGGGGTCAGGGTCCGTGAATGCCACTCATCCAGGCCCCCTCCAACCAAAGAGGTGTCTGGTGGACGGATGGGGCCAACCCCAGGTCCTGGGGTGGAGGGGATCCTGGTACCCAGCTCACCCCACAGCGTCACCCCATCCTCCAGGCACGTGTCTGCCTTCCCACTGTTCTCCCCAGGCGGCCACGTGTGCCATGGGCAGAAGAGATGGCGGCTCCCCAGTGACACCAGCAGCTGGTCCTCAGGAGGCGTCTGCCCACCCACGGCCCCCCGGGGTCAGAGGGCAAACATCCCAGGACGTATGTTGCTCTCCCTAGTATGCAAGCAACAGGAGCTGCCCTGTCCGCATAGCGTGTCCCGTGTACATCAGCGGTGCAGGGTATGAAACAGTCCCAGGAACTGCCGCGCAGGTGACCGGCGTCCTGACGTGCTGCTGCCCTTTGGTGCCTCAGACACGACCGGCTGATTCCCTCCTGTGTCATCCGCGCGCCCCAAGCTTGCTCACCGACAGAACCTTTGAGACTGGAGGCAGCGCCTCCCGCAGGGCAGCGGAGAGCTCTCCCCGGTGGGGGCAGCAGCCCTTCGCAGGTGACTCACCCTTTCCACCTCCCGGCTTCCAAACGGGGCACGCCCACCGCACCTGAAACCTCCTTCCTCCGCTTCTCGGTCAAGCCCTCCCCCTGCGCCCAAAACCTCGCACAAAAGTCAGCTTCTCTTAAAATCCACCCCACCCAGCCCTGGGAACTCCAAGCCCTCCGCATAGCCACGGCGGCAGTCCGTCCAGGCCATACACCGACTCGGTGCGGGCTCGTGCGCTTCTTGGAGTGCAACATCTGTACACCCTGAGCGTGTGTGCGTGTGCATGCATGTGTGCACACATGTGTGTGCATGTGTGTGTGCGAGTGTGCATGTGTGTGTGTGTGCGTGTGCGCACGCGTGTGCTCGAGCGCACCCTTGCATGCAGGGTGTGCACCTGTGTACCTTCTCCCAGAAAGTAGGGCCTGGGTCTCCCCCGCCACGCTGGGAGCTCCCTGAAACAACCGAGTTTCACTGTTGCTAGACCCACACCCCACACCCCCAGTGCCGGGACCAGGTTCTGCATAGAGAAGGCTCTTAGGGCACCGGGCTGCCTGACCAATAGGCTGCCCTGGGGACAGAGGTCACCTGAAATCCCCTTTCTCTGCTCTCCCTCCCCGCCCCCACCCCTCTCGCTTGCTAGACCTGTCATAGGGCAAGCTGCTCGGGAGGCTGATTTCTTGCTGAGTCTGTCTCGATAAGGCTGAGACAGATTCAGCCCTTCTAGCGTCTCCACTTGAAAAGAGCGCCCCTGTCCCTCATTCGGTATGGAAAGCTAGCGAAAGGAAGCCCATTCTCCCTCCGCCTTGGAAACCCTCTCCTTCACCCCCAGAACTTCTTCCACCTGCGGTGCCGCCGAGGCGCGAGGCCCATAGCAAAGGGAATTCAAACACGGTAACAAGAACTGCCAGGCAGATGCTTGTTAGACGATGCCCTCAGAGGTGTCCGCGAGTGAGCAGGGCTGAGTGGGCTGAGTCTGCGGAGTGGCTCTGGTGCACGCCCTGGGGGAAGGCGACGGCCAGCCGTGCTCCCACGCCCCCCGCCGGACCCCTGGGAGCACCG